CCTCAAGCAGTCCTCCTGCCTCAGCCTCCTGAAGTGCTTGGATTACAGGTGTGAGCAACCATGCCCTGCCTGAATTGTATTTTTTACATTTAGATGAAAGAGGATGGTTATTAAACTCTAAGTGAACAATGCAGATGGGAAAAGAGTGACAGGAGTGAACTGTATTAGTAGCAAAAGCTCTTTTTTTTTTTTGAGATGAAGTCTCACTCTGTCACCCAGGCTGGGGTGCACTGGCATGAGCTCTGCTCACTGTAACCTCAGCCTCCCAGGTTCAAGCAATTCTCCCTGCCTCAGCCTCCTGAGTAGCTGGGATTACAGGTGCCCACCACCATACCCAGGTAATTTTTGTAGTTTTAGTAGAGATGAGGTTTCACCACGTTGGCCAGGCTGGTCTCAAACTCCTGACCTCAGGTGATCCACCCGCCTCAGCCTCCCAAAGTGCTGGGATTACAGGTGCTAGCCACCACGCCTGGCCACAAAAGCTCTTAAATGGATTGGGTTATTAACCACTTAGCTTCAGTTTCAGATACATTCTAGAACAGCATTACCCAACAGAACTTTTGGCAATGATGGTGATGTTCTGTATCTTGTCTAATCATGTCTAATACAGTAGCCATTGTCTACCTGTGGCCATTGGGCTTTTCAAATGTGGCTAGTGCTGCTGAATAATTGAGTTTAAATTAAGTTTAAATTTGAATAGACACAGGTAACCAGTATTTTCAAATATTCACTGCAGCTCTAGAAAAACACAAAAGACCTTAAAGGATTTAGTGGTATATTTTGAAATATTGGCATAAAATTAAATAGACTAGTTCCCCAACCAAATGGAAACGTAATTTAATGAAATCTAAACTGAACCAAAGTTTAGTCATACCATGAAAGCCGTTAAGGTCTTTTCTGTTATTCTAGAGTTGCAGTGAATATTGGCTTTCCATATTCATGAGTTCCACATTAATAGATTCAGCGAACAGAAGATTGAAATCGTACTCAAAAAAATTAAATCTGTGCTATATATGTACAGAGTTTTTTTTGTGATTATTCCCTAAACAATACAGTATAATTAGTTACATGACATTTTTTGTTGTATTTAGTATTATAAATACAAATAATATCTATAATCTAGATATTATTTGAAGTATATGGGAGGATATGCATAGGTTGTATGAAAATACTATGCCATTTTCTATCAGGCACTTAAGCATACTCAGATTCTGGTTTCCAAGGGAGATCCTAGAACCAATTTCCCATGGATACTGAGAGACAACTGTGTGTGTGTGTGTGTGTGTGTGAATGTGTGTGTGTGTATGTGTGTGTGTAATTTTTAAAAATAAATGTAAAACCTGGATATTTTATAAAACCGACGATGTGGGGCAAAAGTAAAAGCACAAGAAACTGATGAGTCTCTCAGGTTTCTCGGTAGTTTTTACATATAGAAGCTTGACAATCTTCCCCACAGGAATGGGACTATATGAATATAATTGAACCTCTTGCAATAGAGAAAGCAGATATATTACTTTTGTAGTGTCCCTTCTAAAAAACGTTCCTCATGGAACCACCAAGTATTCCATGAGATATGCATTGTGCTAAATGACTGAAGGAATTTGTACCCAAACCACTGAAGAAGTGTGTCAACTGCTACATGCACACTAGAGAATTCAGCAGCTGATGACTCTGCACTCAGGCTCTCTTGTCATCATTGCCTTACACCTGCCAGACTGTGGTCCTTGGTGTCTAGGAGACCACACTTTCCCCCAAGTGCAGAAACAGATTGAACTGTTCTTTATTTCTGAGTGGAGAGTACAGATGATACTGATTCTCCAGACCATGGTTACAAAGTGAAATTTAAAGCTAACATAGGCCGGGCACAGTGGCTCACACTTGGAATCCAAGCATGTTGGGAGGCCAAGGTGGGTGGATCACTTGAGGTCAGGAGTTTGAGACCAGCCTGGCCAAAGTGGTGAAAACCCGTCTTTATTAAAAATACAAAAATTAGCCAGGTGTGGTGGCACGTGCCTGTAATCTCAGCTACTCAGGAGGCTGAGACGGGAGGATCACTTGACCCTGGGAGGCAGAGGCAGTAGTGAGCTGAGATTGTACCACTGTACTCCAGCCTGGGCGACAGACAGAGACTCTGTCTCAAAAAAAATAATAATAATAAATAAAATAAAGCTAACATAGAAAGAGACAGGGACATGGACACTAAAGTTATTTTTTCTCAACTTTTTAATGAACTTGCACAAAAAAGAGAGAATTCAAGTTTGGTGAGTGAATCTGGACTGAATTAGGTTTAAGAGACAACTTAAGACTGTTACATGATGATTGTGCAGGTAACTCCAGCATCCTAATGGATGAGCCTTGGTGATCTTGTCCTCTTTTCCAGCATGCCAGCAGTGTTGTGCTCTGTATTTCCTGCTCTCCTCCAAGCTGCATGCTCCCTGGGTTGGTATTACTATATCACCAGATTCCAGTGGTTTACCTCCTAGACAATCTGTAATTTGTGATCTGAAGCAGGATATAGGCTCAAACCTGTCTGATTGATGAGTCATAAGTGCTTCCATTTAATTCCAGCAATATACAAAGGCATTATTTACATCACATTTGGTACCATTATTTGTGAAATGCCTACTTTTACAAGTGATTGTGATAGTTGGGGTCCTAAAGTTTCTTAACTCGAAAATAGAAAAAACTGATTCTGTCTATCTTAATGTCAAGGGGAATTTGTTGGAAGATTTTGGAGTCTCTTAGGGAATCAAAAGGGAAACAAAAGAGGGAAATAGTGGGAGAACAGAAACCCAGGGGCCTGTTCCAGGGCCTGAGCCAGAACCTCCAGCTAGAGTCCAGCCAGCTCCAAAGACTTCTAGCCCTGTCTCTCAAGATCAAATGTCACAAATCCAGGGCAAGACATTGATTGGCCCAGACTGGGTCAGCAGTCCACCTCTAGACCCATCAGCTATGGCTAGGGCAGGAGCAGATCTAGGTTTTACAGGGACTAAAACTCATACAATTTGGAGAGCACACCTTGAAATAGTTAAGATGTCTGTTTTACATTGTACAAATACTGTTGGGAAAAGTAGCAAAGGAGAAAGGACTTACAGATGTGCCTACATAAATTGGTTATGAGTAACACATAAACAAGGAACAACAAACTGCGGAAGGCTGCAGGAGGCCTCTCAGGAGGAAGGCCTCTCCATGCCTCATGTTCCGGTGCAGTGTGACCTGGGCTCTGTTACCATAATCATTGTGCTCAAGGATGTAAAACCCCTTCGTAGCACTATGACATAGCCAGACTTGTAGACTCCTTGTAAGGCCCGTGTTCCCTCAGCTGTACATAGATAATCAGCTAAAAATAACCACGTTCTTGTTTTGTGAAACTCCCAGACCACTGCTGTTACCAGTCCTTAGGTTGACATACCAGTCTGGCTCACTGATTTGCTTCTGGCTCACTAATTCACTCCACCCCTACCCCATAGATCAAAGTGATTGTAATCAATAAATAGTGTGGATGATGAGAGCTCAGGGCCTTCACTGTATCCTCTAAAGTAATAAAGCAATGGTCCCCTGGTCCCACTTTCTCTCTTAATCTGTCTTTTCACCACCAAACACGGGGTACCAAACGGGTGATATAGGGTAGTTCCCTACAAAAGACAGTGCCTGCAGCACTACAAAAAATCAGGGTAGAAGAAATCACAAATACAAAATGCCTACAACCACTGTCAAGAGAGGAAGTGAGACAGAAGGATAATTGAAGTAGGAAGAAGAGCTTGTGGTCTTAAATGGTTGTGGCTGAGAACGTGGATTATTCTCTTTGCAATTCTCATAAAAATATTTGGCCATGTGAACACATTTTTAGGGTCTCTCCTAAGACTTTGGAAGGAACTCACTCATGCAATGAGGGCCGCTGAATTTTTTTTTTTTTTTGAGACAGAGTCTCACTCTTTTGCTTAGGCTGAAGTTCAGTGGCTCAATCTTGGGTCACTGCAACCTCTGCCTCCTGGGTGTAAGCAATTTTCCTGCCTCAACCTCCTGAGTAGCTTCAACTACAGGCCTGAGCTACCATGCCTGGCTATTTTTGTGTTTTTAGTAGAGACAGGGTAGCATCATGTTGGCCAGGCTGGCCTTGAACTTCTGGCCTCAAGTGAAAAAAGGGAGAGCCTGGAAAGACAGAATAACAGCAGACCACTGTCTTATCCTGCACCTGCTGCTATAACAAAATACCTTAGAGTAAGTAGTTTATAAACAACAGAAATTTGTTTCTCACAGTTCTTGAGGCTGGAAGGCCAAGATCCAGTCACCGAAAGACTCAGCGTCTGGTGAGGGCTGCTCTCTACTTCAGAAATGGCAGCTTCTTGCTGCATCCTCACATGGCAGAGGGAACAAATGTTATATCCTCACAGGGTGGGAGGGGCAGAAGGACTAGGGTGCTCCCTCCAGCCTTTTGTAAGGGTACTAATCCCATTTATGAGGGCAGAGCCTTAGTGACTTAATCACTCCCCAAAAGGCCCTACTTTTTAAAATTTATTTTTATTATTTATTTTTGAGACAGGGTCTTGCTCTGTTACCCAGACTAGAGTGCGGTGGTATGATCATAGCTCACTGCAGCCTCAACCACCTAGGTTCAAGCAATCCTCCATCCTTAGCCCTCCAAGTAGCTGGGACTACAGGTGCATACCACCACACTCAGCTAATATTTCTATTTTTTGTAGAGATAACATCTCACTATGTTGTCCAGGCTGGTCTTGAACTCGTGAGCTCAAGTGATCCTTCCACCTCAGCCTAAAATGTTGGGATTACAGGTGTGAGCCACTGTGCTTGGTCGAGGACATGTTCATGTCAAGGCCAAAGTTCTTTTTGCTCCATCATGCTACCCAGCTTACAATTTTGGACTTGCAATTTTTGTGAGGATTTATGAACATTCAATTAGTACATGTGACTAGGTCTTCTTCATAATCTCAATCAAATTATTTAATTAATGATGAAATAACTATTTTTTTTTTTTTAAGTCAAGGAAGAAAAGAATGGCCCTGTCTTTTGGAGAAGCAAAGAGCCCAGAAATCTGAATGAATCTCCTCCCAGGTGAGATTGTTGTTTGGAATATGTGCTTAACTTGCTAACCAAAACATTTCTACATTACAACTTGCTTTTCTTAATGTTTTTTCTCTACTAATGGCTTTGGACTAAGTACTATTAATCTCATATGTAAAATATGAAGGTATTTTTGAGAGAACTTTTTTCTCAATTCAAATCAGTTAAATAATATTTCTAATTTTCTATATATTACTGAATATATAGATGTCACAATATAGATAAATCACTAACATTAAATTCAAAAACATCTGTTGACCTCTGGTTCTGTGTAGGGCACTATGTTAGGCCCTATGATGGATGCAAAAATGAGTAAGTCATAGATCCTGTTCTTGAGAAGCTGATTCTAACCAAAATATACAGCATTTGCACAGATAAAGAAAATATATAGTCCACATGCTAAGTGTCCTGAATGCCTCAGCAATTTGCAAAGAGACTTACAGAGTGGACAGATTATATTCAGTTGTGGGGAGAAGTCAAGATGCCAGGTGACAGCTGGTAAAGGAACAGGGCACATGGGGATGGGGACGCTGCCGTTGGAGGAATAGTGGAAAAGGAGATCCAGGCAGGAAAGAAATGGAGCATGTATTAGCCCCGTGTGATTGAAAATAGGACCTGAAAGTGAAATTGAGTACATCCTTTGGAGGGTCTTAAAAGTCCATATGAAGGCTTTACATTTCATTTCCCAGGACATGAGAAAACTATTGAAAGTTTTGACCAAGAGAATGATATAGAAGCATTACTGCAGAAAAATAATCCAGTGGTTGTGCTTAAAATGGATTGAAGTAGGGAAAGACCAGAGACTGGTGGAAAGTCATTAGAATGTGAACTGGGCTAGTGGTAGCAAAAATAAAGAAAAAGGGACAGATGGAAGAGACACTTCATAGGCAGAGTCCACAATACTAACATTTGATTGAAATAGGAGAAATGGAAAGAGAAACTACTGTGGTTTCCAGCTGGGGTGATGAATAGTGATGCCCTTCAAAGAAATAAGGATGTCAGAAGGGATCACACACTGGTTTAAACAGATTAAGCTTGAGGTCCTAGTGGGCCTCATCTGGTGGAAAAGTTCATCTGGCAGTTGAAATTTTAGTCTGGAAGGTGGGAAAGAAGCCTGGGTAAATTTAAAAAGAACAAAAAGGAGTTTCTTTTCTTTTCTTTTTTTTTTTTTGAGACTGAGTCTCGCTCTGTCACCCAGGCTGGAGTACAGTGGTGTGATCTCTGCTCACTGCAACCTCTGCCTCCCAGGTTCAAGCGATTTTCCTGCTTCAGCCTCCCAAGCAGCTGGGATTACAGGCGCCCACCACCACATCTGTCTAATTTTTTGTATTTTTAGTAAAGACAGGGTTTTGGCATGTTGGCCAGGCTGGTCTTGAACTCCTGACCTCAAGTGAGTTGCCCACCTCAGCCTCCCAAAGTGTTGGGATTACTGGTGTGAGCCACTGCACCTGGACAAAAAAAAAAAAAAGGAGTTTCTTAAGTTGCATAAGTTAAAGTGTGATACTGTTACACACTTTCTCTATTTAGATATTCGAAGGAAGAAGGGAGTCTAGGAGCTGCCACTCAAGGGATATAGAGGCATAGGGAAAATTAATATGAATTGAATCCTTGAAAGACAGTTCATAGCAAGGGGAAATATCCAGATTAGAAAAGCATTGCAAAATGCTGTTGGAAAAAGTGAAATCCTAACCGGGGATATTCACAAACTCATGGTGGGTCATGGTGAGTTGCTTAGCTTGCTGGGGAGGGGCCCTTTCTCACTGCACTGTCATTCTCACCCTCTCTCACAGTGTGAATAAGAGGACCTATAAGGTCTCTTTTAAACTTAAATTTCATTATTGTTACTTCTTTTCTTACAAAAAAAAAAAAAAACTTTAGGAAGTTTCTTTTTCCTAAACACATTACCAATTTGCTGTGTAGAATTTTAACCTTATGGCCAATTATTCTAGATAAGAAATTGTTGGACAGTAACTAATTTTCTTTTCTTTCTTTTTTTTTGTTTTTATAGACAGGGTTTCACCATGTTGGTCAGGTTGGTCTTGAACTCCCGACCTCAGGTGATCTGCCTGCCTTGGCCTCCAAAGTGCTTGGATTACAGGCATGAGCTACTACACCCAGCCGTAGTAACTAATTTTCTTAAAGGTGCTTAAGTTCAAGATTAAGGAGTTAGCTATAGTGTTCCTGTGTTCTTGTCAGAGTTCTCAAGGCTTTGAAGTTTCTGATTTGAAACTAAACATCAAAAAAACCTTACTAGGCTGGGCATGGTGGCTCACACTTGTAATGCCAGCACTTTAGGAGGCCGAGGCAGGTGGATCACGAGGTCAGTAATTCAAGACCAGCTTGGCCAAGATGGTGAAACCCCGTCTCTACTAAAAATATAAAGATTAGCCAGGCACGGTGGCGGGTGCCTGTAATCTGAGCTACCCAGGAGGCTGAGACAGATAATTGCTTGAACCCGGGAGGCATAGGTTGCAGGGAGCCAAGATGGCACCACTGCACTCCAGCCTGTGCAACAGAGTGAGACTCTGTCTAAAAAAAAAAAAAAAATTACTAAAGCATTGCAGACCATTGCTTAAAATGCACATTGAGACCCCTTTTTAATGCTGGCATTGGAGAAGGGACCAACAGCAAGCTGAATTCCTTTCACCATATTTCACAAGAGGTGCAACTAGCATTTTGTGTGGTACCATTTGTGCTTGTGCAAAATGGTGCCACACATTGTGAAACTTCAGCTCACCTAGCTTTTGACCACTAAGTGCCAGTAATACTCCCCATTTATTGTGGCAACTAAAAGACACTAGTACACATTTTCTTTCTTTTAAATCTTATTCATGTTACGCTCTGAGATACATGGCAGGATGTGCAGATTCGCTGCATAGGTAAGCACGGGCCATGGTCACCATGCATTTTCATGGAACTACCCTGGCTACTTCCAGCTCTCAACACACTTGTCAGACGGTCAAGATTTGTTTCCATTTCTCCCATTCTGTGCTCTTTCTCCCTTCTCTGTGCTGTCTTCTCTATAGCCTTCTCTAGTATCTTAATCTGTTTTCTGTTGCATATAACAGAATACCTGAAACTGCCTAATTTATAAGGAAAAGAATGTATTTCTAACCGTTGTGAAGGTTGAGAAGGCCAAGGTCAAGGTGTATCCGCTGAGAGCTTTCTTATCCATGAATTGATTAACCTACTTATGAGGGCAGAGCCCTCATGACCCAATCACCTCTTAAAGGCCCCACCTCTCAATTGCACCTTACTGGGGGTTAAATTTCAACATAAGTTTTGGAGGGGACAAATATTCAAACCATACCACCTGGGAAGCATCTTTGCTCTCCCTGTACATTTTATGTTTGGGTTTTTACTGATACCACATTGTGATAATTTCTTTTTCTTTCTTTATTTCTTTTTTTTGAGACTGAGTGTAGCTCTGTCACTCAGGCTGGAGTGCAGTGGCACGATCTTGGCTTACTGCAACCTCTGCCTCTCAGGTTCAAGCGATGCTCCTGCCATAGCCTTCTGAGTAGCTGGGCTTATAGGCCCCTGCCACCATGCCTGGTTAAATTTTTTTGTATTTTTAGTAAAGATGGGGCTTCATCATGTTTGTCAGGCTGGTCTCAAACTCCTGGCCTTATAATCTGCCTTTCAGAGTGCTGGGATTACAGGCATGAGCCACTGCCCTGAGCACGCTGTGATAATTTAATAATACAGATTTAAAATGGTTACTCCTTTGGTGGGATTTCCATTTTAGCGGGCACAAAAGCCAGCAGCTCCAGGAAAGAAGCTCTATTTGTAGGATTTTGTTGTAACAGCTTTATTGAGGTATGACTGACATACAGTAAACTGTACATATATGTTTCATCACATATATCTCCCCATGAACCCACTATCACAATCAGTGTGTATCACCCCCTCCTATCTACACTGTGCCCTGGAGACTTTTTTCAAGGTGGGAAACTGCGGCAATCATTAGGTTTCACCTTGATTATTTCCCACCTATTGGGCTCATTGCCTTTCATTGCCTGGTGTCTAGTGTCTTAAAATCTATTTTTGCATATATTTTGTCCAATTTTTGGTTGTTACAGGGTATACATGGTCCCTATTACTCCATCTTGGCTGGAGGCAGAAAAAAACTAGTAATTTTAGGTTTATGCCCATATATACAGAAGAGGATTTGGACTGGTGCTAGATCCTTCCTGGAGTCAGTGATGTTTCTGGAATTCCTATAAAAGAGACTTTGGGGGCAGCAACAGGGGAGATTAGAGAATTCATTTACCTAGACTGTATGTTTATGTGGACTAGATTGAAACTCTTTTCCTTAGCAGGCACAGATACATTGTTTTTATGCCGCACAGATATTTACTTGTGGTGGCTCACTCAGGGGAAGATCCTAGAAAGTGGGGACACTGATTTCCCCCTTCTTTTGGCTTTTGCTTTTGGGAGCCTACAATTTCAGCCCAACTCGTCAATTTCAGTTCCAGACTATATTAACAAAGATAATCCTGAAGTTCAGAAGGACCTGGATTATCAAAGATTCCTGTATGTGTACTATTCTGCCTTTTACAAAAAGGCAAAACCACATACTTTTAGAAAACTTGCTTAACAAAGTTAAGTATCCCATACAAGGTTAGTTAGATAAGTCAATTGAATATGAGATCTCATTTTCCCCCAACAGTCCTTCTGTGTAAAGTTACATATACTGTAAGGGCTTGAATTTACTTATTGGAAAGTTAGAATCTGGGACACTCATTGCTGCTGCTTCCTATTTTTTTTCTTTTCTTTTTTTTTTTTTTTTTTTTGAGACAGGATCTTGCTCTGTTGCCTAGGTTGGAGTACAGTGGCATGATTATGGCTCACTAAAGCTTCAACCTCCCAGGTAGCAGGAATTACAGGGGTGCAGCACTATGCCTAGCTCCGCTGTTGCTGCTTGATGTGATGTTACTGCTTTGAGATTAGTCTACACTTCTAACACATGCTGATTGGGTGATGTAAAG